GAGCTAGATTTGGGGAGTAGAGCTGTATTCATTTTGTAGACTCCTTTCGAACTGAAGGTGTTGATCAAAGAACCGACGGTTGATTGAAGTGAAGGCCCAGCCGGGATTTGGAGAGCAGAACTGAGGACCGAACTGAATGTGTTGGTGATCAAAGAATCGACGGTTGAAGTTGAGGGCCGACTGAACGAGGAGCCTGGAACCAGAAGGCGTCCACTTATCAAGAATCAAGATGCAAAACAGAGTGCTTGGGTAAGCGCAAATCGTCCATTGTAGGTACAACGTGGTCTCGAAAGCATAAACGTGAATGTGTTCAGATCGTGTTACATGTTCATTGTTTGGTAATACAGAGTCTTGAAAGTTTGTCATGGTCCAGGTCAAATGTCAAAATTTGTGGGCATACACATGCACAAGATACATATCACCAACATATCACATGCACTGTGGTCGCAAACCCCCCTGACTTTCAGGGTACAAGGGCCTGGATTTCACATTTCATGGCTCTTCATAGTGATTTTTTTTTCAGGCAGTTAAATTTTCAGGTACCCTCCGAATGGGCCTTCCAAAACACATAACTTTCACGATCATTTAGGATGAGTTTTTCAACACAAAGTACATGGATATAACACACAATAAATAATTATCCTGGCGCTCGCATAGGAAAAAAAGAAAAAAGTGGCATGCCACTTTTTGCACAACCTAAAAGTGGCATGCCACTTGGGCTCAAGCTCCAATGTATCTATATATATACACTGTGTGAAAACATATTCCAGGTACTTTACCTTTCATGTATTTTTTTCAGGCCATAGCAAGAACATGCTGAATTCCATGGTGATTTGCATGAATTCATGAGTCTGTGGCCGGTGGCTCAGACAAGGTACAAAACTCAGGTCATGACCTCCCAAAAATTTCCCTTTGTGTGTATGTGAGAGAAGAAGTCCTACATTGTAGTTGACAAACAAGGTCTCTCTATTGGAAATATAAATTATGATCCTGATTACCATACTTAATAAAATAATGTAATAAGTAATAATAATAATATAATAATATATAATATAAATAAATTAATATAATAATACATCAATGATAAATTGTATCTGCTTTTTTAGCTACTTCCCCATCTATATTTCACCAGTCAATTGGATGAATTTCATGTGGAAAGAGCCTGAAATAAGCTGGAATGCTCAATGACCCAGGGATCTGTGAATCACAGGCAACCTGGTTTTCACTGCCAGTCACGTAGAAACATAGTGAACAACCATCATGAAAAGGTAAATTTCGGTGTGGGATTCCAGGTAGTTCCAGCCATGTGAAATCCAGGGTCTTTACTTGGATATCAACCAAATTGCCATTGAAATTCCTATGAAACACCATGAAATAGGGACCTGAAAGCCAGGGCCTTTGGCGACCACAGTGACATTCAAAATAAAGGTGAACAAATTAATTAGTAGCAGATGAGCAGGGGATGCAGCATCTGTTAAAGATAGAGCTGCACGCCGTGCCCGTTGCGACGGTTCTACGGCACCCGTCGAACCGGTACCCGTACCGTCCCTTTGAAGATTTTTCTCCATCCGCAACGCCGGGACGGTTACGGGACGGGTTGATGCCCGGACCGCCCGTCAGAGAACGGCCGTGACGGCCGTCGAACGGCTCCATCGTTTTTGCCTTCAAAATAATGGCTAGAGCCAATATTTTCCGCAAGATGTCTTGCGTCTTCCAGGAGTATACTCCATATCATTTCTTCAGATATTAACTTTTTGTGTACCCGAAACCTTCGTTCTGTGTAATGTTCGGCACCTTCCAAACATGATTGCCGAGGTTCAACCACAGCTCAATATTTCGCTCCTCATGCGCAAAGGAAGGAGAAGTTGCCCAAAATGGATTGCCAGTCGTGTAAGAGTTCTCATTTGAAGTTCTGGACAAGTGTATTCCTTTCTTGAGTGCCTTCTCCCCCCAGTTGCTCCTGAAATTGAACTTGCAAGGCGAAATCAACCAAGAGGCTTGAAGGGAGTGTTTAATTAAAGTTATAGTAGCAGTCTCGTTGCGTTATAACAAGACATTTCAAGGGTTGAAAAAATATTTTCATACTAACATATGGCCATAGACCCGTTACGGCCGTCGTTGAGGCTCTGGAACTCCCACTCGACGGTCGTCAGATGAACGGCCGTGCCCGTTGCTTACCCGTCATTTCGACGGCCGTCAGTGACCGTCACGGGCACGGCGCGCAGTCCTATAAAGACAAGGCCGAGCCGTGCCGAGATCAATCACTTCGCTTACTTGCTTGACACATCAGAAGCCAGACCTCTTGACGACATCTCTTGCGAAGAATTCACCTTTCGCCTCTCTGTTGTGTCGCTTCGAGTTCATTTTTCAATTGTTGTCTTCAACCCTGCTTACTCTCAAAACACTGGTCCGAAATCGGGATTACGAGCGCGTTGAAAGCAAGAGGAAAATTATGGAGGCAACAATCCACGGCGTACGGGAGCCGTGGTTGGAGTTACCTTGGTCCTCGGACCTCAAACCTCGCCGACGATAGGAAGAAAGGAAGGAAGATATATTCCACGATGCATGACAAATTGCAACACAGACCGACGGCGCATGTCGGTGACTCACTCAGTACTGCTGTTTCAGAAAAGCGGAACTTGGTCCGGTGTCGGCACGTCAATGTGGGCTGAGTCGCCAAAGAGAACACCCGAATGAATGTTGAAACCTCCCGAGACGGCTTCGCAGGGCCCGGAATTTATACACCTCGTTCTATTTAATGCAGCGTTTCAGGTCATGACGTGAGGAGGGCATCTCCCCCCGCCTATTCAAATCTGTTGTACTATAAAATGAGGCAGCTGAGGAAGGGGTCAAGCCAGTCTCATCATCGAAAACGCCATGTTCGCTGCTCTCCTCGCCGTCGTGTCCCTTTCCCTCTCCGTCGCTGCCGTCGAAGTGCAGAGCTCCAACGCCGCCTGTACGTCCTCGTCGACCCACAAATGCTATTCGCGACTGACCATGTTCAATCAAATTAGTTTTCAATGCTGGCATCCAGGGCTGTATGGCCGTGGCCGACAACGCGGATGGCGAGCCGCTCATCATCCACAACTGCAACACCGAGAATACCGCAAACCAAGACTGGAACGTGACGTTCGACGTACGGACTCCTGTCGGCCCGCAACAAATCAAGATATTCGGGGACAAGGTGGGATTCCTACTTAATGTTTATGCCAGTGATTGGTCTTCATCTCCGTATTTTCTAGTGTATCGACGTGAAGGACGGCGTCAACGCCGACGGCACGAAGCTGCAAATTTGGTCATGTATCTCGGGAGCAAGAATCAACAGTGGATTGCGCAGCCTACGGAAAACACCTTCCAATGGAGCGGCACGAACAAGTGCATCGACCTCTCGGATGGGAAGATTACGGACGGCAACGTGCTGCAGATTTGGACGTGTACGGAAGGCTCCGCGAACCAGAACTGGGCGGGCGCTCCCAACCCCGACACCGAGCAGTGAGCATTTCGTGTGTTTCTTTTGACCGAAACAGACTGAATTTTCCGCAGGCGTGGCGATGAAATCGCCAGTACTATAAGTTGTACGCATATAATCCTTTGTTGTCTTCTCTGCACACTCCCAATTGACTGCACCTGCCAATAATCCAGTGGACCCGCCGTACTGCTTCGGCGCGGCCTCGGCCACGGACGGCGCCGAAGTCGCGCTCGTCGAGTGCCTCAACAACGCCGACTTCCACAATACGTTCCGAACGGTAACATCACCTGGACCGTCCCCGTCCCCCCGCTCGCGGGCCAGATCAAGACGTTCAACAACCAGTTCTGCCTCGACGTGCCGAGCGGGTCGACCGCGAACGGCGTGAAGCTGCAGCTCTGGACGTGCACGCCGGGCAATACGAACCAGATGTTCAAGATCGGGCGCGGCACCGGGCAGGTCGAGTGGAGCGGGAAGGGCAAGTGCGCCGACCTGACTGATGGGGCCCTCAAGAATGGCAATCCCGTGCGTTTTTTTGTTTTTTGTTTATTCCGGCACCAAGGAGCTGTGGTTGACCCTTTTCTAGATCCAGATGTGGGATTGCGCGGCTCCGGGTAGCAACCCCAACCAACAGTGGTTCTACTGATGTGGTTGTTCCCGATTCGAGAGGATGATAGTAATTCCTACAACTCCTATGTCATAATATAAAGATCGGACATTTATATGCCGGCTTTTCTTCGACTTGTGTTGCCTGCCCGCCCGTTTACGAGGATTCAACCTCGTCGAACTCTTGCTTCCCCGCGCCGCTACGATAGACTCCAAACGAGTTGTGTTGTTCGATAATTTAGTGATATTTGAGACTCGATAGATACTATTCTGACCCCTGATGTGTCCACGCACCCCGAAGTGGAATTTTTGAGAATTCCTGCGGCAACTCTCAATAGAATCCTTAGAGAAAATAGTATATGGTGGGCATGGGCTATAGTAATCTCCTCCCGGAAATTCAGATTTATTGCGCAAGGAATGAGGGCTCCAGAAAATCAGGATGCCCGAAAAAGCCGGTTTTTGATCAAAACTGATTCCACTTCCCTGATATCTCTTCGTCTAGACCATGGATTGCCCCAGAAAAAAATCCCCGGCATGCTGCATGTGTTTCAAGTTGCTTCAGAGACTCAGCTTGAGTGGAAGGGAAAATTGCATACAGCATGAAGCAATGATGTCGATTCCACATCAGGGGTCAAAAGTGGCATCAAAACCGGCATTGTCGTACCAATAGCTCTCATTCCTCAAATAATCTGTAAACTCTGCAAGTCACATATCATGAGTCAATAAATGTCCCAGAGCAAGATCCAGCCAAAAAGATTAAATTTTGCGGGAGGTACGGCTCGCCATCAAAACCATGGACACATCAGGGGTTAGGATAGTATAGGGCCAACGGTGCGCGGGGTTATCGAGCGATAAAGCATTGTCGCATCTGTCCGGAGAGACGGAGAGCTACCTTTGGTGAACACTGGACTGATCCCTGACACAGTAGACACCGATGGTGAAGCGGTTATCATGCTTGCCTTCCATTGCGCCGTCCCTATTTCTAATGTAAGCAAGCGGCAGGGGTTCGACTCCCCTTCGGTGTATCTTTTTGCGCACCGCGCATGCTCTTCCTCTCAGGCACCCGCTCACCCTTCCGATGTATTCGCCATTCTGACTCCTCTGTAACACTATGTCATCGGTAAGTAAGTAATATATTAAATGCTACATTTCGTGCATGCATGCATTCATCCGTCCATGTGTATGGTGTTCCCCGCGTCCTCCTCTGCCGACGCTAACGTGGTCCCGCCCTTCCTCCCCTCCGTGTCTCGACGCAATAAGCGCATCGAGTGTATTAATTCGTGTGGTTGTGCTAACCCTCTCGCTATCCCGCCTCGCCCCTCCTCACCGCGCCGCGCCGCGCTCCTCCCTCCCTTCTGTCGCATACGGATACCAAATCGCGAGGTCGTGCGCGTCACCGCAACTCCTCCGGCCACTCCGCCCTCAATACGTTTAGACTCGAAGACGGTGAGGTACAGACCTATCACTTTGAACGTCTCCTTGAATAAACGAAACATGCTGTACTCCCGAGGCCTGCTGTTTGCCGGGCAACGAGCCTATTTGGACCTGGATAGTTTTCACCCAGACTCAGATCAGTACCGAGTACCTATTGAGTGGGACGTGACTTTGGCAGATGGAGAGAGAGAGCCTGAGAACGCCACACCTTCTGTCCGGGCAGCCATTGATACTGCTGGTTCCAATCATGATGCGTTTCTGGCCGCATTTACTGAATACTTACAACACACTCGAACTTCAGGCGAAGCTCAATGAGCGTATACAAGGCATTACAGGGACAAAGTCTGCACAGACACCGATGGTGAAGCGGTTATCATGCTTGCCTTCCATACTGCAGAGATAACCTGGTAAGCAAGCGGCAGGGGTTCGACTCCCCTTCGGTGTATCTTTTTTTCGATCCTGTGTTTTCGGTCAGATATTCTCAATATTCACTATTGAAGTGATCATGTTCCTCATGCTCAGCAGTTCATAGGACAGCGTTGAACAAGGTCGACCCCTATCCGTCAACAGTTCATTTTGTGATTGTGCCACAATGGCTGTGCCCGGCTTCATTTTGCGTCATCCCCAATGCCAAATGCGCCGCCAGCTAAGGACAAGGTCGTCCTCGATAAGCCGACATTCTGCGGGACCATAACCGAGGCGCGGGTCTCCGCCCGCGAGCGGCGCGAGCGCAAGCCGCAGCCGTGGGCTGTGCGCAAGCTCATGGTGCTCGTTACGCTCGGGATCATGGGGTACACCGCGTATGTCTATGCGGGGCGCTTTGCGGTGAGGCTTATGAACGGGGGAAGGAGGCCTGAAGGAAGTGAGTGTTTATCTATCTATTTTCGGGGGATCGCTGATGATTGTTCTGTTGAATAGTCGGGCTGCTGGTGGGGGTGGAGTATTCTGTATGCGTGGATGCTTTGGGCGTATATCAAGGTGTCCTGCGCCGGCCTTGTTTCGTCTGTAATTCAATTCTAACGCAGACCAGGTAATCCTCACCCCGCCTGGGAATGCCCGCGATGTGCGTCCACCTTCCTCCTCCTACTCATAATAAATCAAATCGAATCTACACAGTACATCTCCCAATCCCCCCAACCGCTCCTCCCGCCGCAACAGTGGGCGCCGCACGACGCATACCGCAACGGCAACGGCACCAACTCGTTCGAATTCGACTCCGGCAACGCGTCGTTCGACAGCAGCCTCGCGGACATCGAGACAGGGCGGATAGGTGGGCCGGCGTATGCGGAGCTCCCGGCGCCCCCTCCTCCTGCGGCGCATGGCCCTGCGCCGAATTCAAATCCAAATCCAAATGCGCCGCACGCTCCAAATGGAGTAGCGCCCGCCCAACGGGGAGCTCCCTCCACCGGCCACCGCGCGCCGCCCCTCCGCGGGACGCCGCCGCTCCTCCCGCAGACGTGAAGGAGGAGGAGGAGGAGGAGGAGGCAGACCGCGCGGCCGCCTCCCCCCGCCCGCGCCGCTGCTGCCGGCGCAACCGCTACTGCGCGCGCTGCTCGATCGTGAAGCCGTATCGGGCGCACCATTGTCGGGTTTGCGGGACGGTACGTGTTGGGCTGTGATCTCAGCCATCATCTCCTTCCTTCCGTTTCGCTGCTCCTCTCCGGATCCGTGACTTTCGTTGGGGTCCTCCTGAGGAAGCGCAACCGTGGGCAGGAGGCAGTCCTGGCGCTTGACTTCCCCCTGCTCCCTCCTGCTCCCTGCTCCCCCTCTACACCCACAACTAACCCCGCCCACAGTGTATCCTCAAATTCGACCACCACTGCCCCTGGATCGGCCAGTGCGTCGGCGCGCGCAACCACAAGTTCTTCCTCGCGTTCGCGTACGCCACCGCGATATTCACCATATACACCTTCGGGAGCCTGCTGGCGTTCAACGTGCGGGGCGGGGGCGGGGTGGGCGAGACGGACGTGGACCCGCAGGAGGTGGTGATCATCGCGCTGTGAGTCCGAGGGGCGGGTGCGCGGGGAAGACGGTTGGGCTGACGGATTTGTGTTTTCGCAGCGCGGCGCTCTTCGCGCTCTTCACGCTCACGCTCGGCGCGGAGCATACGCGGCTCATTTTGCTGTCGCAGACGACGGTGCGCGCCTCTTTTCTATTCGCCTGTTGATTAGAGTCGGAGCTGACTGGTTGCTGCTCACGCGTTTCCTTCTTTCCCCTGTATTGCGGCGTCCCTCACCTCACCCTCGATACGAACCCCTGCGACTCGACGCGAATCCCTCTCACCATCGACTCCTGACCCTCGCGACTCTGAAATCGAATCGAATCCCGATCATCGCGCCACCCACCAGGTCGAGAGCCTCGGCATAAAGCGCGTAAAGGCGCGCGACAGCGCGGGGCTGGAGGCGGCGGGGCTGGGGTGTTGGCAGGTTGGGTGCGTCTTGCGTTTTTGTTTCTGCTTCTGTTTTTGTTCTGCGCGTGACGGTGGGAGTGGGAGTGGGAGGGGCTTGCGCTGCGTTGGTATTGGGACTGGGTGGGTGCGCGGTGCCACACACGCGTCCCGCTTCCCCTCGACTTGGGAGCGAGTACCTGCCTCCCTGTCCCTGTCCTTTCCCCGCCTCCGCCCCTGCCCCGTCCTGCTCTCCTTGCCTTCGTCTCACCATACCGCGCTTGGCCCCACTTTGCACCGTGCCTCCTCGTCTCTCCCGCTTCCTCCTGCACCCCATTCTCGTCCTCGTCCCCGTCCCGTACCCTCCCTTCTTCCGCTCTACTCCCTCTTCCCTCCCTATCCTCCGCCTCCGCCTTGTCCCTCCCCTCCGCCTCCGCCTTGTCCCTCCCCTCCCCCTCCCCCTCCCCCTCCCTCCCTCTCCGCCGTCCTCCTGCCCCCCCTCCTTTCATTCACTTCCCTCTATCCGTCCATCTATATCTATACTAACCTCCCTTCTCCAGCGCAAAACGCCGCGCGCTCGCGTCCTACGACGCCGAGTGGGGCGCGCCGGACACGGAGGGCAACGTGTGGTGGGCGGGCTCCGCGCGCGCGGGGTGGGAGGACGCGATGGGCGGGGCGGGCGCGGCGGGCTGGGGTGGGTTTGTGAGTAGTCGGTTTTCTTTTGGTATTTTAGGGAGGGGTGCGCGCGGCTCTGCGCGTGCTTATATTGCCCTCCGCACACTTCCCCGCCCTCCCCTACTTTCCTCCTGCGTCCCTCCGCCCCACACTGATGCACCCTTCCACCTGTCTCTCTCCCACCTCTTCGTCCCCTCCCTACCAATCTCGCTCGGCTTCTTCATCGCCGTTTATTCCCCCCTCCTCCCTCCTCCCATCCTTCCGTCCCCTTCCTGACTGTCGTTTCCCGCCACCCTCCCTCTCCCCCCCCACCTCTTCGTTCCTTCTCTCCCTTGCTTACTCCGCCCCACACTGACACACCTCCCAGTCCCCATAGGCGCCCCCCTCGGCGACGGCCTGCACTACGTCCCCAACCCGCGCTTCGCGCCGGACGGGCGCCCGCGGAGGCGGGCGGAGTGGCCGGAGGAGCTGCGATAGCGCGCACGACTTGCGATTTGGTATCCGTATGCGACAGAAGGGGAGGAGGAGCGCGGCGCGGGGCGGTGAGGAGGGGCGAGGCGGGGTGGCGAGGGGGTTAGCACAACCACACGACTTAATACACTCGATGCGCTTATTGCATCGAGACACGGAGGGGAGGGGACACGGGACTTCACATGAAAGGATGAATGCATCCACGCACGAAATGTAGCTTTAATATATTACTTACTTACCGATGACATAGTGTTACAGAAGAGTCGGAATGGCGAATACATCGGAAAGGTGAGAGAATACCTGGGAGGCAGAACATGCGTGGTGCGCAAAAAAAGATACACCGAAGGGGAGTCGAACCCCTGCCGCTTGCTTCAAAATCCAATTCTTAATATGGAAGGCAAGCATGATAACCGCTTCACCATCGGTGTCTGCGCAAATGAAACTCCTGCAATAGCTTATATGAGCCTCTTGAGCATCGGTGTGTTATACAATCCCAGCAGACTCTCCGCTGCTGTGAATTCTGAGATCACCACCTTGGATCTCGCAACGACTAACCCGGGAGTTCTTTTGGAAATGTATACACAATACATTCAGAGTCGGTGATTTTTGGAGTCATATAAAGAACTCAGAAATAAAAGGTATTTGCCACACATCCGGTCCTGAATCTCTGGAGCACATTGTATTGGAGTGTGGTGCACCGGGTCAAAAGCTGATCTGGCTTTTCACCCAACAACTTTGGACACTGAAATATGACCGATGGCCTGATCTGAACTGATGCAATGGGGATTGATACTAGGATCCAACCTTGTAAAATTTAAATCACCCCAAGAACACATCATCCATGCGAAAGGAAGACTATTTGCAGTCCTGGTATCATCTACATGGCACCTGATTTGGAACCTCCACGTCAACCATGTCATTGCAAATCCAGACAGAATATTAACTTCAGCAGAAATTTATAACCAGTGGTTGAACACTATAAACTGAGCATTACAGTGGGACCGCCTGTTGACAGACAAAGTCAGATTTGATCCTTTAGCCTTGAATAAACAACTGGTGCTAAGCACTTGGAGTGGTCTACTACTGGATGAGGACTCACTGCCGGATGACTGGACAAAAGAGGGGGTTTTACAGTTGCGGCAAAAAAACATGTCCAAAAGCCGTTTGGGCGCATTTATTGACCAAATCATGTCAAATAAAATCCTGCCATGAAGTTCTAGTGTTGCCATGAGCTTTCACATAGTTTTCCAAATATCTCACCTCTGTTTTTGGCCCTGAATAAAATTAATAAAGGCTTTCTGAAAAATCGACTTTGCAGAATCATCATGTATAGAGAAAGAGTGTATATGGCATGAAAGTACTTGTAAAGGCAAGCATATTGGTATTTTAGCTCATATGGATTGATGGGGATTTGAGCTCAGAGTGTGCAGTGCAACTTGGTGACTTTGGCAGGAAATGGGCCAAAATTGCTCAAAATGGCCAACTTGCAGGCTCTGGTGGGAGCCCAAATCCCGATCAATCCACATGAACTAAAATACCAATATGCTTGTCTTTACAAGTAATTTCATGCCGTATACACTTTTTCTTCATATATAATGATTCTGCAAAGTCGATTTTTCAGAAAGCCCTTATTTATTTTATTCAGGGTCAACAACAGAGGTGAGATATTGGGAAAACTATGTGAAAGCTCATGAAAACACTAGAACTTCATGGCAGGATTTTATTTGGCGTGATTTGGTCAAAGAATGCACCCAAATGGCTTTTGGACAAGTTTTTTTGCCGCAACTGTAGTGGGTATGCGACCCATCATTGATCAACATGGGATAGGATAAATTGTATTTTCGGGTTGGAGTCCCACACTGGTTTAAATAATTGTGCGTAACGGCATTTCCTCCTGAGCAAACTTCCCTGGCAATGTCTGGTCCACCACCAGCAACACAAGTGGATGACCTTGGAATGCTTCTGCAGACTAAGTCTCATTATCTCAAACACTCCAAAAAAAAAAAAAAGAGAGAGAGATCCCCGTAACCTTACGGGTTTACGGGGCGTACGGTTACGCCCCTGTCCCGTCGACCTCTAGACGGTCAGACGGGTAACGGCACGGGGTGGGGCGTAATGTGGCACCCGTAACCGTACGTTTACGCGTGAATTACGGGTGGCGCCTGGCGGGCGCAATTGTTATTGTCGATTGCTTGCCGAGGTTCGCCATCCGCTTGCTTGGATGGCGGTGGAGTCGGCTGTCGACTCCTACGACAATTGACAGTCTCCGGGGCCCTCGGCAGGCCGTGAGGTGCATGTCGGACGTGTCCGAAATTCCGCTGACCTGCCGAGAAATGGCCTCGACGCATCCTAGACGCACCTGGATTCCTGGAAGTTGTTTCGGACGGTCCATAACCGTAGGTAACGTATTTCACACAAATATAGTTCATAACTCGCTTGAAATCTGTCGATTTGGTAGGATCACTCGACCACCCGTAAATTACGCCCGTCTACGGCTATACACACGGGACCCGTCCCGTCTGAACCCTCCGACATGCCGACTTACGCACGGCTGTCCCGTAGGCCAAATACGGGCGTAATCTTTACGCCCGTAGGCATATTACGCACGGTTTGATGCCCTACTGTATATAAGTTCAGACAGTGTCCTTCCATGTCAGTCTGCCGGTGCTCAGACTCACACCTCGTCCAACTCGTCGTCCCGGAATGTCTTTCCGCCATCTCTTGAAGCAGACTATTAAATTGGGTCTCCTTGCCGTAGTCGCCGCGTCGCCGTTGTCGGAGCGCGCCGTCATCGATTCAGATGCAGTCGTGGGGTTTTTGCAGACAGTTCCCGCCAGTACAGCCGGTAGCGTGTATCTGGCGTATAAGCCGCACCTGAAGGTCGTGAACGGCTGTGTCCCCTTCCCCGCAGTCGATGCTGCAGGGAACACGGGGTACGTGCCACCACCCTCCATTCAGAAACCGCGCACTGATTCGCCGCCCTAGCGGCGGCCTGAATCCCACGGGCGCGACCAACGGCGGCTGCAGCAGCAGCACCGGGCAGGTGTACGTCCGCAGCGGCACCTCCAACGGGCACTTCGGCCTACTCTACTCATGGTACTTCCCCAAGGACGAGCCGAGCGACGGGCTCGGTCATAGAAATGATTGGGAAGGATGCATCGGTGAGGGCCAGACTTACACTCGTTGTTCGCACTTATCTCAATCTGAAAGTATGGCTCGCCTCGTCCACGAGTACCAGCGCCGCGAACATCCTCGCCGTGTGCCCATCCGCGCACGGGGGCTGGAACTGCAGCACCGACGGCTTCTCGCTCACGGGGACGAGCCCGCTGATCCAGTACGAAAGCATCATCCCGACTAACCACGCGATGGGCCTCACGACCACCGTGGGCGGCACGCAGCCGCTCATCGCGTGGGAGAGCCTCCCTGCGGCGGCGCAGGCGGCGTTGCAGACCACAGACTTTGGAGTGGCCACCGTGCCGTTCAAAGACAGCACACTGGCGTCTAACTTGGCGGCGGCAACGTTCTAACTTGAGATTCTGAGCAGGAGAAAGATACCCGACTTGAACGGTCTTGTAGCTTCATGTCGTTCTTGAATGCTTGTAAAAACAAATCGTTCTCCGAAGTTGTCCCCGCTAGTCCAGGGTGGCCATGAAGTCTGCTCGGTGGCGACTGACAGTGATTGACGCTGAGGACGTCCTCATCGTCTTGTGGATCGTGACACGGCAGTGATGTTGTTCGGCTTTGTTCGGATCGAAATATCGATCCTTTGATGTGATCTCTCTCTTTCTGTCAACCTTCATCTTTTATTCCTCTTTGAATTCGATTACCAAAATAACGCAATTCAGTCTGTTTCTAGGCCGAAAGGAGAATGGGAGTCGCAGAACCACTATGATGATTCGCGAGAAAGAAAGATGGGAAAAAGACCAGTCATGTCCTCGGTGGGTGAACTGAGCCACAGCACAGCCAATAAGAGTGAATTAACACACTCTATGAATGCTTGCAACAGGACTGACTGGAGGGCTGCATGAGGGCTTCTCAATATCCGCCAAGCTGACTGGCAATATTGGCCCGATCCGATGCGAGCCCGTTGCAAAAATTCAGTCCATGGAATCTTAGAATCACAAGATTTCGGTATATGTGTGTAGCTCAGCAACACCCGCAGTTCTGGGTTTAGAACTCTACTAATATTTGTGCTCTTAGGCCCATACTTGTAGTAGAAGCCAGTAGTGGGAGCAACATTTGAGCATAGCAAGTTTCGCTAAAATCCGACCGGACCAGATGCAACCCACAGGGACTGGGTAAATTACACGTGCCCCAGTGGTTTTCCTTGCCCCAGGGCTGGATTATTTTCGGTGGAGGTTATAGATGGTAGGACGCGCCCTGGTGACTTGAACTATCTCTCGGAGGGATATTGATCCACGGTGAAAAGATGGGGAATAGAATAATCCCTAGGAAGCAGACAATTTTTGCGACATGGTTTGCTGTAGACATTACTACCGAATCCGAGAGGGCCTAAGGGTTTGAACATAAATTTCAAGAGTTATAGACCAAGTTACGACAGAGGGAGGTGTCGTTAATGGAATATTGCTAGGAACACCGGTTCGAGATGAATCGTGGGGTGCAGTGGGTAAACGGTGACTGCGTCCAGGAACGCATCATGATTGGAATCAGTAGTGTCAAATTTCAATGATCGCCAAGACAGAAGATGTAGCTTTCTCAGGCTCTCTCTCTCCATCTGCCAAAGCCACGTCCCGCTCAATAGGTACTCGATACTGATCTGAGTCTGGGTGAAAACTATCCAGCTCATCTATTGTGTCCAAATAGGCTCGTTGCCCGGCAAACAGCAGGCCTCGGAGTACAGCATGTTTCGTTTATTCAAGGAGACGTTCAAAGTGATAGGTCTGTACCTCACCGTCTTCGAGTCTAAGCGTATAGAAGTACTGAGTCCGTGTCTCAGAGGAATCCGTTGTCCAACTTTCCCAATCGTTGCCGGGTTCGGACGCCAGCATCAGCAAGCGTGCTGTCGAATTACACAACCGGGCTGTAGAGCTCTCGAAGGCGGGCCGTCGCCAAGATGCATTGCGAGTCAATACAGAAGCAATTGGACTTCTTCGAGAGCTGGCGCCGGGACACCCCTCATTCGCTAACATCCTTGCGAGGACATTGCGCAATCTGGGGGCGGATTCCGTGGCGCTAAACCGCCACGAAGACGCGTTGCAGGCTTATGCGGAGGCCGTTCAGCTGGTGCGCAAGTTATCGGAGACAGATCTAGCCGTCACCGGGGATTTGTGTGCATCGTTGCGCGCCCTGGGGATAACGCTCAGGGCGGTGGGTCGCCTAGAAGATGCATTACGCGTCAAGGAAGAGGTTGTTCAGCTTCGTCGCAGGTTTGCTGCGAAGGACCCAAGCGCATCAAAGGATTTGTGTG